TAGCAATAATTTTTTTGTGGACTTCCGAAAATCTGTTTCATGTAGCTTGGCAAGGAAATTTTGAAGCATGGGTATAGGACCCTTTACATGTAAGACATGTTGCTCATGCAATTTGGGATCCTCATTTTGGTCAACCAGCTGTGGAAGCTTTTACTCAAGGGGGGGCTCTTGGCCCAGTTAATATCACTTATTCTGGTGTTTATCAGTGGTGGTATACAATCGGTTTACGCAATAATGAAGATCTTTACACTGGAGCTCTCTTTCTATTATTTCTTTCTGCCATATCCTTAATAGTAGGTTGGTTACACCTACAAACGAAATGGAAATCGAGCATTTTTTATTCAAAAATGCTGAATTACGTCTGAATCATCATTTTTCAGGACTCTTCGACACAAGTTCCTTGGCTTGGACAGGTCATTTAGTACATGTCGCTATTCCTGGATCTAGAGGGGAGTATGTTCGATGGAATAATTTCTTAGAGGAATTACCGCATCCACAAGGGTCAGGCCCACTTTTTACAGGTCAGTAGAATCTTTATGCCCAAAACCCTAATTCAAGTAGTCATTTATTTGGGACCTCCCAAGGAGCAAAAACTGCCATTCTAACTCTTCTCGGGGGATTCCATCCACAAATACAGAGTTTATGGTTGACCGATAATGCTCATCATCATCTAGCTATTGCATTTATTTTTCTTGTTCCTGGTCATATGTATCAAACGAATTTCGGGATTGGACACAGTATCAAAGATATTTTAGATGCACATATTCCTCCGAGGGGACGATTGGGACGAGAGCATAAGGGTCCTTATGACACAATCAATAATTCACTTCATTTTCAATTAGGCCTTGCTCTAGCTTCTTTAGGGGTTATTACTTCCTTAGCAGCTTAACATATGTACTCTTTACCTGCTTATGCATTCATAACAAAAGAATTTACTACTCAAGCTACATTATATACTCATCACCAATATATCGCATGATTCATCATGACAATAGCTTTTGCTCATGGAGTTATATTTTTCATTAGAGATTACAATCTGGAGAAAAATGAAGATAATGTATTGGCAGAATGTTAGATCATAAAGAAGCTATCATATCTCATTTAAGTTGGGCCAGCCTCTTTCTGGGATTCCATACCTTGGAACTTTATGTTCATAATGATGTCATGCTTGCCTTTGGTACTCCAGAAAAGAAAATTTTGATCGAACCTATATTTGCTCAATGGATACAATCGACTCATGGGAAAACTTCATATGGGTTGGATGTACTTTTATCTTCAATGAGCGGTCCGGCATTTAATGTGGGTTGAAGCATCTGGTTACCCGGTTGGTTAAATATTGTTAATGAAAATAGTAATTCATTATTCTTAACAATAGGTCTTGGAGACTTTTTGGTTCATCATGCTATTTCTCTGGGTTTACATACAACTACATTGATCTTAGTAAAAGGTGCTTTAGATGCACGCAGTTCCAAGTTAATGCCAGATAAAAAGGATTTTGGTTATAGTTTTTCGTGCGATGGCTCGGGACGAGGGGTACTTGTGATATTTCAACATGGGACGCATATTATTTGGCAATTTTTTGGATGTTAAATACTATTAGATGGGTTACTTTTTATTGGCATTGGAAGCACATCACATTATGGCAAGGTAACGTTTCACAGTTTAATGAATCTTCCACTTAATGGTTTGGCTAAGAGATTATTTATGGTTATACTCTTCACAACTTATCAATGGATATAATCCTTTTGGTATGAATAGTTTATCGATCTAGGCATGAATGTTCTTATTTGGACATCTTGTTTGGGCTACTGGATTTATGTTCTTAATTTCCTAGCGTGGATATTGGCAGGAATTGATTGAAACTTTAGCATGGGCTCATGAACGCACACCTTTGGCCAATTTGATTCGATGGAGAGATAAACGTGTGGCTCTTTCCATTGTCCAAGAAAGATTGGTTGGATTAGCCCACTTTTCTGTAGGTTATATATTCACTTATGCCACTTTTTTTATTGCCTCTACATCGGGGAAATTTGGCTAATTTTTTAATGTGCTGTATCCGCGATAATCTCATTTCTTTTGATGGAGAGAGGGTCCACCTTCTTCTATTTCTACATCTAGGATTCAATTTGTATCATGGATACTAATAGGACTTGAACCATTATGGAAAAGAAAAGTTTGATTCAAAGGGAGAAGAAGAGGCAAAAATTGGTACAGAAATATCATTTGATTTGTCGATCCTCAAAAAAAGAAATAAGCAAAGTTCCATCATTGAGTGACAAATGGGAAATTTATGGACAGATACAATCCCCACCACGGAATAGTGCACTTATACGCCTTCATTGACGTTGTTTTTCGATCGAAAGACCAAGACTAACTATCAAGATTTTGGACTATCCGGACACATACTTCAGGAAATGGTTCATGCATGTTTGTTGCTAGAAGCAACAAGATCAAGTTGGTAAGGATTAACCTTTCATTTCTATGGTCAATGATAATATAG